GATCATCCAGGCATTTATATCATTCAGATGTGATTCATCTAGATGCTACCAAATAGCCGCTTAGTTGGGACTAGATTAAGGATATGGGCGGTAGTCTCTAAGGAATACCCCCGGAATGAGATAGGTAATGAAACTCGACTCATCATGGAACGAACCATATCCAACATGGTTCGATTACACCTCTCAGCCACACCATTTAGCTGTGGTGTTCTAGGTGGCGTCAGTTGTGAAACAATTCCACATTCCTTAAGATACTCGTAGAACTCGATACTAATATACTCACCACCCCTATCAGATCAAAGCATCTTTATCTTCCTACCCAATTGATTCTCCACTTATTGTTTAAACTCTTTGAAGTTTTTAAAGGTTTCCGACTTGTGCTTAATTAAGTATATATATATATATATATATATATATATATATATATATATATATATATACTATAATTATCGGTAAAATTCACATAGAAGCAGTTAGCATACCTTATGGCGGATCTGAAGGGCCCACACATATATGTGTGTATGAGATCCAACAATCCCTCACCTATTTCACAAGTACCAATGAAAGGTGATTTAGTCATCTTTCCAAGTAAACAAGATTCACACGTATCATATGACTTTAGGTCAAATGAATCCAAGACTCCATCCTTTTGGAGTTGGGCTATGAGCTTCTTGTTGACATATCCAAGATGACAATGAGAGAAGCATGACTTGTCTAACCCATTAGACGAATCGATATGCAACACATTATTTCCTAAGTTAACTACAACCATCATAGTTTCATATACACCATTACAAGGGAATGCTTCGAAATAAAAAGTACAATTATAGAAAGCATTAATAGAACCAATTTCATTGTTAAATGAAAATCTAAAACCTTGTCTGTAAAAACCATGAAAAGAAATAATATTCATCGTCATATCTGAGGAGTAGCAACAATCATTCAATTATAATCCTAACCCACTACCAGCTTCATCTTCAAGCAGCTATGACAGACCACGGTTTCCTATTCCCCATTATCAGGTTCATCTTCCTATGCTCCACATCCCTACTTCTTATTAGCCCCTGCAAATCGGTACAAATGTGAAAGCCATATCCTGTATCAAGGACCTAAGAACTAGCATGTGATGAGTTATTAGACAAAATAGTGTAAATACCTGCGAAGGTAGCCTTTATCTTCCCATCCTTGATGTCCTGTAAGTATTTTTGGCAGCTTCGTTTCCAATTCCCTTTCTCATGACAGTATAAGCACGTTGCTTCTTTAGGATCGGATGAGGGAATGGCAGAACCGACTTTACCTTTGGATCCATTTGAAGAAGATCTACCATGGGACTTTCCTTTGTGGTTCTTAGAGGGAACTTTCGTTTTTTTCCCTTTTCCATGTCCTATAGCAAGGTCGAGGGCAGTAGTAGTAGGGTTGGACTCAACAACTTTGTCTTTGAGTCCACTTTCAACAGTTCTTAACAAGCCTTGAAGTTTGCTCAAAGTGACTTCCTCCTTATTCATATGATAAGTCATCTTGAATTGATCATAACAAGGAGGTAAAGAGTGGAGGATAATACCAATGGCCAGCTCTTCGTCAAAGTTGACAATCAACTTGAGCAAACGATCTACATATCTTTGCATTCTTTGCAAGTGGCTCGTGATGGACTCTGCATCCTTTATCTTGGTTGTTATCAGCGAGGCAACAATATCATACCTTTCTTGACGCTCAATTTGATGGTACTTTTCCATCAGATCTTGGCACATCTCGTAAGGTCCATAATCCTCATAGAACCGCTGCAACTTAGGAGTCATAGTGGCTACCATAATACATAGCACCTTTGTTGTGTCCTTTCGTGAGGCCTATACTCAACTATTTGTTCAGGAGTAGATTTGGTTTCATCAATCTTGTTCAATTGCTTGTCGAGAACGTATTCCTTCTCTTCATATCACAAGGCCATTCGAATGTTGCGAATCTAATCATTGAAATTGGATGCATCGAAGGTGATCCTCGTACAAATGTTCATGAGAGAAAAGGAGCTTAAGGAGTTGGAGTTCAAGCCAGAAGTGTTGTTTGAGCTAGACATCTGAAAAAGAAAAAGAACAAAGTTTTGATTAGATAAAGAATCCTTAATATCACACCTAAATGAAATATTAATGATAGGACCCAACACAATAATTCGCAATTCGGAAGAAGGATGTCGTAATCAATTCACAAATTATTTGAAGGTAGGTAAATGACGATTTACCAATTCCACCACAAAAAAAAATGAAATGAAGAATTAGGTTTTAAATGAAATGAAATTCCTAGATTCTTTTGAGATTCATTGAACATTTCAATGACATGTTTAATATCGATTATACCCTTCAAATTTGTGACTGGAATACCGAGGATCACAAACAACGTATGAATAACTATGCAAATTAGCTTGACACTCTCGATATCATTTACCACCTAATCAATGTGTCGGTTAACCACACACGCTCCATTGATCTATGATAATTCTCGAGCTACCCTTTGTCATAGTTGTTAGTCCAAGTTATTGTGTCGGTTAACCACACATACTCCACTAACGACTTGTCAATGTGCAAAGTGCAATTTCATAGACTAGCATCATGGGCGGATATAATATAGTACCCGAAATACCTGTTAATTTTTTTTAGTAGTGTAATTATTTTCGAAAACTTTAGTTTTTTTACATGGTTTTTACTCACGGGCGGATATAATATAGTGCCCGGGATACATGTTATTATTATTTTTTTTTTCTGTAGTTTAATTATTTTCGAAAAATTTGGTTTTATGTTGCGGTCATACCCCTTGGAAACAAGTGTGGACTACCCTAAAAAATATAATTTATTTATTATTGTATATTATGCGATTTTTTTATTACCCATTTACTTTAGATTTAATGTACTAGGAGGGTAATATAGTTTTTAATTTGTCTGCAGTCTCTAAAGTATTTTTGTGTACATATTAACATGGTTGTAACCACAAGACTATCCATGTAAAAATGATAGTCAACTCATTACAAGCTATCATGAAACTCGAAGTTGGAACCACAAGACTATACTGTAAAAAAACTAAATACTAAATTTATGATTTTTGTAAACCTTAAGGTCCATTTATGTAATTATTCTAAAAGTTGTAGGGGTTAATGACCTAGGAGAGTAATAAGGTTTGTCAACGTTAGGTCATTAAGTTTTTTTTCTACATATTACACAAACATGATTGTTATAACCGTTTAAATGTCATCCTTTTAAACAGTAAGAGGGACCACATTTAAACGGTTATAACAATTATGTCCGTGTAATATGTATAAAAAAGATATTAATACCTGATGTGAAAAAAACTGAAACCTTATTACACTCATAGGTCATTAAGGCTTTACTTTTAATCTTGGCTTCTCCACTATTTTTAGTAGCTTAACTATATATGTACATTTTTTTTATCATATTATCCTGGTCCCAAATTAATTATCCACATTTGATTTTTTTAGTATTTATTCTTGAATTTTGGCCTTAAATATTTTTTTATAGGTATTATTTGATACAAAATAAATGAATGAATTGTATTTTAAATGTTTTTTCATTGTTATAAGTTTCATCAAGTAATATATATAATACAAATAAAAATATCTAAGATCAAAGTTAAAAAAAAAAATAGCTTCAAAAATAAAAAATAAACAATTAATTTGGAACGGAATGAGTATTTTGTTTTCTCTAAGAAAAAACTCAATATAATTACTTTTTTTATAATTTTTTAGGTTTGTAGATAAATATAGGTTAAAGTATATTTATCCATATCTATATTGTAGTATATTTATCTAGTTAAAATTTAATATCGAACAATGTTTTATGTTGTTTGTAATTACTAATTAATATATTATGTATTAATTTTATAAAACATTCAAGATAAATTAATATAATAAATTATTTAAAATGTAAAAATTTATAATTAACAATTGAAGAAGATTTAATTACATCAAAAGTAATACTCTATAAGAGCATTAAGTATGAGTCACGTTATAACATCAAATTCATATATCACTTCAACCATAACACAATCATAACACCACCATAACACAAATGGGGAAATTATATTCACCATGTTATAACATGTTAAGAGGTAGAGAGAAAAAGAAAAAAAAAAAGATTTGATTAGTTGATAAAGGCAACAACCAATTAAACTTCTAGTTGCTTCTTGTCTTCGTCACAACCGAGATATGTCATAACACCCTCTTAACAAAAAGTTGGTGGTGTTCATCTTGTTATGAATAAGTTATGAGATGTCACGTCAGCAATAATACCAGTTATCCTTTAGAGATTTTATTAGAGAGCACTAGGTGTAAAACCCGTTTCGTACACGAGTTTATTAAAAGGATCAGAAGTAACGTTGTGAGCAAAAAAAGATCATTCATGCAAGGTTTGGTAACCACAAAAACCATGTTAATAAAAAAAAAATAAGTAACGATTGATTTTGTAACATTTTATAAACAACATAGACTATTTATGTAATTTCGTCTTAATTAATCCATACTAATAAAATTAATTAATATGAATTCGTAAATAGAATGTACTATCTATATTAATATACATAAAAATTAATTAATATATTAATAGAAAGAAAAATTCATAAATAGAAAATTACTATGTATATTAATTAATGTATTTATAAAATTAATTAATATGAGCGAGGTGAAATTTAATAGGTAAAGTTAGAATAAAAAAACTATAAAAATGAAGTGATATTAAATAATTTTAAAAAACTAGAAAATGAAAAATGTGGAAATAAAGGAGAAAATAACATTTACCAAAATTATTGTTATTTATTAGGGTAAATTGGAACAAAAATCGAAAAGGTTGTAACGCATAAGTACAAACATGACAAACAAAAAAGTTCTTTTTTGCTTTGTGCTTATCGATTCTTTGTTTTAATCTCTCAATTTGTCTCACGATTGCCTAATTAACCACTTCATAACACAGGCTTCTTCTCCCTCACAAACTCAAACATCCATGAAAATGGCATCGGAAACTCAAATTCAAATTCCAGTAATTGATTTCTCCGAGCTAAATATGCAAAATCAAGATAATCTTTCCATCTGGGAATCCATAAGAACCGACGTTTTAAAAGCTCTCCAAGACTATGGTTGCTTCGAAGCATCATCAGTTGTATCAATCGATCTTCAAGAATCTGTAAACGATGCATTGAAACAGCTCTTCAATCTCCCATTAGAAACCAAACTTCAAAACACATCAGAAACAGCCTTTCATGGCTATGTTCAATCTCCCAAGGTTCCACTCTACGAAAGCATGGGAATTGGTAACGCATTTATCCCTGAAAACGTTGATAACTTCACCAATCTAATGTGGCCTCACGATAACCCTAAATTTCGGTATGTTTCTTCTCTTCAAACGCTGTAAATTTTGTGTTCATATATGTTACTGATGTTGGTCGGGGTTCCATGGCAGCGAAAGCATTAAAATCTACTCCAAGAAGTTGCGAGAACTGGATGAGATAGTGAAGAGGATGGTGTTTGAGAGCTTGGATTTGGAGAAATATTTTGATGAACAAATGAAATCAACAAATTACCTTCTTAAGGTGATGAAATATCGAGCACCAGAGCCAAATGAATCCAATATTGGACTCCATACTCATACTGATACCAACATAATGACAATTTTACATCAAGACGAAGTCGGAGGGTTAGAAATCCAGACTAAAAACGATGAATGGATACGAGTGAAAGCTTCCCCAAACTCTTTTGTTGTCGTAGCTGGGGAAACTTTCAATGTAAGTAAAATAACTGTCACAAATGACAGTTTTGTATTGCACTGAGAGTCAACATTTTTTTGTCCCGCATACAACATGAGTTAGGCCGTACATGACCTCCTCCTATCCATCATGAAAAATAACCCTAAACTTCTTGACCAATCCAGTCGAGTTTGATCCGATTGTCTTATATATAACAAACGAAACCTGAGTTTAACAACTCCTTATATGAATGTAATGCAGGTTTGGTTGAATGGTCGATTGCATGTACCGTTTCATAGAGTAGTGATGAATGAAAGTGTGTCTAGATATTCGCTCGGGTTTTTCTCGGTACAAAAATCAAGCAACCTTGTGAAAGCATTTGATGAGATGGTGGACAAAGAACGTCCTTTGCTTTACAAACCTTTTGATTATGGAGAGTTTCTTAAGTTCTTTTACAAAGAGGGTGGCATTCAAAGCAAGTTCGCACTAAAGACATACTGTGGTGTCTAAGAGGGATCCTGCTGCTTCGATGCTTGTTGAAAATTGTCATTGAAAAAACATGTGTTTGTATACAAGATTTGGGGACTGTTTTGCAAAGTGTTATTTTTATGATTTAACTTTGTGTATATGGTGTAACTCTGTTGCTTGTTTTGGTGGCGTGTTTAAATAAAGGGATAATGACTTAAAAAATGTAATATATTTTTTGATTTGTACGTATTTAGTCACTGAGTTTTTTTCGTTCATATTTACTCATTCAACTTGTTAAACTGTACACATTCAATCCTTATAATCGGCTACTCCAGTTTAGCCGATAAAAATGAGTCGACAGGGTAATATATTTCTCAATTTGTACACATTTAGTCCTTAATATTTTTGTACATATTTATTCCTTAATATTTCTTTTTCTTGCAAAATAAGTTAACTTTGTTTTTATACTCATTCAATACTTATGAATAATTTCTTTAGGTTTCTCACGACATCTTACATGAGACATTCATTAATGAGGTGTTCAAGGTTTTATATCACAGGTGTTGATATGAAATCACATTACACTGAGAGATTAAGAAGATATAAATCACTAGTGATAATGAATGTAAGTTTTGTTTATGCTTATGTTTCTGTATTGGCGATGGCATCCCAAATGTTTTAAAATTAATAAAAATACTTTTTTTTTTCGGAAATGTTTTGATAACGTATTTATCATGTTTTATTGGGAACAAATTCTGCAACATTTTTATTAAAAGAGGTACTCTGATTTTTATAAAGCATAAACAAAATCGGTCTTTTCTAGCAATGAAAATTGGGGATGTTACACTTCACATCGTTCAAAATTTTCCTCCATGTTGCTATTCATAAATCCCTTGAAGAACAACGACTAATCTACCTTTTGATGGGCTTGAATGACAGTTACAAGATCGTTCATGGATACATATTGATGATGAGGCCTCTTCCTAGCATTTCAACTGCATATTCTTTAATCGTTTAAGAAGAACAACAAAGAGGTGTAACTATCAATTATCATATCAATCGTGATTCTATAGCTATGCACATTTCATTTGATGTCCAAACCAATAAGAAGCAGTTGATTTGTAATCATTGCATGAAGTATGGCCATACAAGTCTCAATGCTACATGTTAATTGGTTTTCCTTCCAGTTTTAAGTTCGCAAAAGTCAAGAAAGAAGAAATTTAATATGTGGCTTTAATGTTGCTACTAAGTCAGATATTGGTATTAGTGAAGAACAATACAATCATCTCCTTCAATTGCTCAATGCTAGTAACATTGCTTCTTCTACCATGAGTCAAGCAAATACCCCCATGAAACTTGATGCTATGGAGAAGAAATGTAACAATTTCTTTTAATCATTTTGCATCAAATGTTTTCAAATCATAAGATCTATTACAATCTCACTTATCGTGGATTTTTGAAATCGGAGACATTGACCATATGTGTTCTAATAAATAACTTTTCTCTACTTGTCATAAATTACCTCAGCCTTATATGATTGGATTGCCTGATGCACATGATGCTTCTGTTTAATTCTATGGTGATGTCCCAAAACATGACTCCATTACTCTTTACAAAGTATTGTATGTTCCAAGATTCAAATACAATCTTGTATCTATTTCTAAACTTGCATCTCAACTCCAAACCTTCTTCTTGTTCACTGATATACAATGTTTGGTGCATGACCCTTTGATGAAGAGTAAAATTGCACTTGGAATCATAGGGAATCACACCAATGATCTACATGGCTTTCATCATCAGTGTAGTTAGTCTTTCAATTTTTCTGTATTCAATAAATCTGTTTGTTCAAATAAATGTACTTCAATTTATAATATAATACTTTGGCACAATCGTGTTGGTCATATTTCAATTGAACTCCAGAGAATCCTTCCCTTGTTCATTTTGATTATGATATTGACTCACATTGTTTCATTTGTTCCAAGGCCAAACATTGTCATTTTCTTTTTCCTTCAAGTCATTCGCAGCCTAAGGATATATTTGACTTAATCCATGTTGATCTATGGGGCCCTTATAAACACACTTCTCATGATGCATAAAAATTGTTCTTAACAATTATGGATGATTGGAATAGAAACACTTGGATACCTCTTCTTAATACTGAGAGTTATGCTTTAAATATTATCAATGATTTTGTCAAGTTTATTCAGACTCAATTTTCAAAGAAAATAAAAGTGATCATGTTTGATAATATTTATGAATTGGTAAGTCATAATGAAGGCATACAATTTTATTATTCTCAAGAGAGTATTCATCAAAAATCAACAACTTATAGTCCATATCATATTGGGTAGTGGAGAGAAAGCATAAACATATTCTTGAGATTGCAAGAGCCTTATACATCCAAGTAGGTTTAATCACATCTTAGTAAGGAGAATGTGTGAAAATAACTGTTTATCTTATAAATAGAATGCCAACTAATGTTCTTGATTTGAAATCCCCTTTTGAATTGTTGCATGGTGTGAAACCAGATCTTAAACTTAAAATCCTTTGGTTGTTTATGCTCAAAAGGCTTACAAAGTTATGAATATTGAAACTAAAAGGACTTAAACACCTTCTCAACTCAAGGATTATATTTGTAATTTTGCATAATCAGATTCTAGTGATTGTTCTCATACTATCACTAATATGTATGTCCTTAAGAATGCTTCAAGATCCTCTATCCCATCAAATGACAATTTTCCCCTTTCATTCAAAGGGAAATAATAATTGGGAGGATGTTATGCAAAAGGAATTAGCACCATTACATGCTAACAATACTTGGACTATTTTCAAACCTCCAAAGGGTAAACAAACCATATCTTGAAAATGGGTGTACAAGACTAAGTACAAGGATGATGGAACTATTGGATAAGACAAGGTAAGATTAGTAGCAAAAGTTTCACTCAAAAAGAAGGGATAGACTATCATCAGACGTTTTCTCATGTTGTGAAGTTTACTACTATCAGATTCCTTATTTATGTTGTTCTCAAAAAAGGGTGGTCAATACAATAGTTTAATGTAAACAATGCTTTCCTTCATGGAGAGTGTTGAGTTAATATGTGTTGTGATATGTTGAACCTTAGTTAGTTATCTTGACGAAGGTCCACAAGACTTTGTTATGTATGTATTTTCTAGGCACTTTAGAGATTCGTTATTCAATGTCGAGTCCCAATATTTTTTGTATTCATGAGTATCCTATAAATAGGGTACGTACCTAAATGAGTTGTAACTTTTGCATACTTGTATGCATTGAGCTTTCTATCTCTCATTGTGACTTTACTTATACTCTCCCTAGATAATATAGCTAAAACCATATCTTATTTAGATTTTTCCGTTCTATTAACTCTGATTTTCTTTAGGATTAACTAAAACACAATTCAAACATCCTTTCAATTGGTATCGAAGAAGAAATCTAAATATTAATTGAAAATTTTTGTTCATGTTTTCACTTTATTGAGTCCATTATACAAATTCAATATTTCTGCAACTAGAAGCATCATGTTTAGATTAATTTTTGGGATGCAATGCTCTTCATTGGATGGTGACCTGGAAGCCTCCTTCCCTATTCGATATCGAAGGCTTCTTTGTGAAGGTGGAAGGCGTTTTTCTATGAAGGCCTTATGGGTTGAGGTTGTCTATATATACTTATATAGTATGCTTTGTGTAGGTTAAAAGAGCCCCCATTTTATATATGGGTTGTGTGTTCAAGAGAGAGGGTATTTTATTAAAGCCAGCATACACTTCTACGTTTTTGTACTACTCCATTATTTATACAACTTGTGTTTAAACATTAAACAATGTATTTTTTATTATGTGCCATTCTTAATTCTACAATGTCATTTAACATGGGATCCTACATTCGGTATCAGATCGGGAATCATTACACTGATTAAAGAACCCTTTCGTGTTTTTATCTTATTGAACTGATATTTCTAAATTAATATTTCCACAAGATTGAAACATAACTCTTCATTTAATTGATTGTGATTAATCAATTATGCGTCAGGTTTTGTCGGTTAATCTAGCATCTAATTAATTTCTCTTCAATAAATTCCTCTTTTCACTCGATCTGATGGAACTCTCAACATTAACACTATAATGAATTTCTCTAACTTTCTTGGATCTGCAACCAAGGTTCCACTGTTGATCCCTGAGTACTACGATCAATAGGCAGATCGTATCGAGGATTATCTCAACAGTATCGATGAGGATATTTAGAGATCTATCGAGACTAGAACTTATCATGCTAATTTAGTTCAAGTTGTTGGTAACACTGGAGAGGTTGAGGATATGATCACACAAGGAAACAAGAAGCAAGAAAACGAAAAAGATGTCTCTATGAACTACGATGAGCTTTTCCACACGTTGTTTACAATTATCTGCAAGGTTGTAAGACTTCAAAGGAGATTTGGGATACCTTGAAGGAAAAGTATCAAGGAAACGAAAGAACAAAGAAGAGTTCCATGACACAATATCTCTTAGAATTGGTTGATTTAAACTAGAAAGAGAATGATACTATTGAGGCATACTATGATAGGCTGACCGAGCTAATTTTAAAGGCAACAAATATGGTGCGATTCGTACAACCTTGGTGTTTAATCTTTCTTTTATTTTGGGACAGAGAAAGGAATGGTGAAACATTTGTCTCATGATCAAAACTCAAGAAAATTTGGATACATATTCATTGCCAAGCCTTTACAATATACTGAAGGAACACAAATAGGAAGTGAATGAGATATAAGCTGAGAAGAAAATGAATTTTGGAGGTCCGATGGTTTTAGTTTCCAAGATAACTACAAAGGAGGTTGAGTCTGATGAAGAAGCAAAAGAAAGTGAAGAAAAAGTTTTCTTCTCAACTTTGACGATGAAGTTGTTGCCTATTATTCAAATAATAGGGTGAGAAAGTTCTATAGGAAGTCGATAAGTGGGAATTTCAAGAACAGTTCAGAGAAGAAAGCAATTATGAACATTGGTGTTGGTAAGAACAGATTTGTGAAAGAGGA